TAGTATGATGTCATTGTTTTCAATATTTTTCTTTTTATCTTCACCTCGTATATTATTTATTATATTCCAGATTTTTTTAAAGTTTGTACCTGTATTATTTATTTGGGATTTGTAGTAATCATTCTTAGTGTTCTTTAACAGGGTATTTAATTTATTTCTGTATCTTTTATATTCTGATTCTGAAACTGTTGAATATTCTTTTAGTAATTTTTTTAGATGATCAATTACAATAATAATGGAGAAATCAACAATCAAACGATAACAACAAGTAGCGAGTGTTTAAAAAGGAAAAAAATAAACCGCTTTTTTCCAATCGGGTTTTGCCTCCTCTAGCTTGGATAATACATTCCACTCTCCGGGGCATTGCACTAGTTAGTGAATGTACTCCCAAGGCACGTTATTCCACTCCTCTATGATCGTAACATGAAGATCCTTTTCTTAAAATAGGTGGCCTTTTACGTCTTCTCACACATCTATCATAGTCCCAAAAGAATATGTAGAGAATCGTGATATCAAAATGAATGCAGAAAAATCGTGTAAGAAAAATTAACGAAATCGGGCTAAAATGAAAAATGTATTCAAATTTAGAATTTTTTATCATTTCAAAGTGGCTGAACATTTATTTTATGTTAGGTTGAAAATTCTATACAATGATATTCATAAACCGTGTGATATCATGTATTATCTTTCTCAATAGTTTTCCAAATCATTTGAGCATAAGATGAAAAGCAAGTCATGGGTTGTCAATAATTTAATTATATTTCGCTCACACCTACCTGCTTGATTTCAGAATATGTGAGAAGTATGGATTGCTAAAAAGGAGCTTATCTACTGTTTAGTTCATTGAGAAACTTGGATCAAATATTAAAGTAAGAAATCCATTACGAGAATTCAAGGCTGAATTCGACCATAAATATGCAAATGCGATAATAATATTTTGATACTCAACATTTCTACTTGAAAGTTATATAATATCAAATATTCTATATAGAACAAAAAGTCAATATCATGCAAATATCTACAAGAATTGAGAAAAGATGAAATATAAGTAGTAAACATGTACGCGAAAGCCATTGTTCTCCCAAACTCCTAGATGAAAAACGAAATAACTGGAAACATTATTTTCTTATTTAATTCTATGCTATAATTCCAAAATATATACAATTATAACATAGACAACAACGTTTTCGTTTTAATGCAATAATATTTCTGAGAATTCGGGGCCTACTATTATGGAATTGTACTTTTTTCAGCTGGTTACAATGTTTTTGTTGACATCAAGAAGTAAATTGAAGAAAAACTACCAGAAATAGTGCAGGAAGAGGTAAATTCAAGTTTTGATGAGATTATCCCTAAATGAACAAAGCATAATAAATATTCAGCTGAGATTAATGAACAGGGACAAACACAACACAATAGAATAAGCAAAGCTTATGATTATGTGATATCAATCCACAATTTCTATTTTTCTATGATTAGAATAAATATTTGACAAAATTCCAGTGATCAAAATTAACGGGAAAGTATTTTCTGGAGAGATACGTTATTGGAAGATATGTTGCAGTGACATGTTGCAGAATGAAAAATTTTCATATAGACGCTTAGTTATATATTTTTCAACGAACGGAAAGAATAGGTACCCTCGTTTTGATGATGAATGCAGAGTGACACAATGTCCAATGTCGTTTCCATTGCCTCTTTCATCAATCTGAATACCTGGAGAGTCCAATATAAGAAATTCAAGCCATTTCTCATGTAATATAACGAAGAAGCCAATGTGGAATTGAAAAATTAAATATATTGTGCGTAGGTCGCTTCTTTAGAAAATAACTGATTGTGACTTTCGATTTAGAGGAGCGGCATGAGCTTAACTCTGAGCCAAGTAAAATTTAAGGTTTCCTCAAAGGTTCATTTAATATTTTTATAAAACCTCGTGTTATCATGAATCATCGGTTATACTCATTTTCTGAAATGTTATATAAATGTTATTGCCTATAACCTCCAACCTATAACTTCCAAGACTGTCATGTATTCTTTTTTTAAAACTGGAATTGATTTCCTGGCAATTGCTGGAACTGGAGTTTCTATTGCTTTTCAAATTTTTTTGCTAGCTTCGTATTAGTTGATTCATGTTTCACGTTGTATTTCTTGCTACCGCTTGAAATTTTGCTGCCATATTTCAGGATTTTTCTTGGTTTTTACACCGCTGGTTTTTTTTCCATTCGCTTCCTCAACGATAAGTTGTATACTTCCTGTTATGTAGCAATGACTTCAGAGCCTGAGGATGATAATGATGTCTCCGTACCGAATATAATGGACACCATGGCTCAAAAGCTTGAAACACTGTTACGAATTAGAAAACTGTACACACCTCAGCCACTTTTGATGCTTTATGAAGCGCAGATCAGGCCTTCCTTGAAGTATTATTTTCATGTATGGAGCTCCGCCCCTAAGCATAACCTGTAGCTTCTGGATTCCATCCAGAAAAGAGCCATCCGCCTGATTGAAGACTCGAACATTACTTGCAACCTTGATAGTCTGGAATATATATACTTTCACGGAAAGTGTTCGAGTACATATCAGAAATACGCGATGGACTGTGGCTGCTCATAGTTTTGAGGTTCAACTCAGTACACCTCGAACTTCACTGTTTAAGAATTCTTTCATTTAGAGAACTGCGTTCATGTGGGACAAACTTCCTGAGAAAGTTTTTCCAAATGGATTTAATCTCCAGCGTTTCAAATCCAATGTGAATCACTACTTTCGAAACGCACCGCTCTGACAGTGTTGCCTGTGTGAGTCAATCTGGAAAATATTTGAATGCCATTCAGTGTACACAGATTTTTCAGGTGGTCAGACTGAAATTTGAGAATAAATAGTTCAAAAAAAATCGATTACACTGTTGTCGGTTTCACTATTCTTTGTATTATCTTGTAGACGGGTAAATAAGCGACAATCGGTGTGTACCGCTTGCCTATTGTATGTAATATATCACAAAACATCTTCCTTTCCTCCATCATATCGCACAGTGATGTCTCCCCGTAAAACGTTTTTCTCATATATCTCACGGGACAACGTTCTTTTTTCAGCTAATGACGTCATTGTGAGCGACACAATAGCCCTAGACGGTCAGATCGACAATTTGGACTTGGAGAATATTTTCCAAAACACTGGAGATGTCTCGGATATTATTATGGATAAGAAGCACTTCCATAAAAACGTTCGAATAGATGGCAAAGTTCATATCGATGGGAAACTAAACGAAGTTAATGTTTCGGATCTGTGCAACTTCGCGTCAGTCGACAGAGAGGGGAAGAAGCTTGTTGTAGAAGGTAATATTTTCTACGTTTTTTACGGTTGTCTGAGATCTATTAGATTGCCAGGGTTTGCAGGGAGTGAGGCTACAACTGCTTCTTTGGTGACTTCCACGTTTATTAGTAGCTAATGAACCGTGAACTACAAATCAATATATGTACAGACGCACAGTCGATTTCAGTCACGTTTCGATGAATTTCAATGAAGCTATGAATTTACATGAAAAATGGGTGTAACTTAATTTCGATTATTTTTTCAAAACAATAAAATATTGAAGGCTAAACCACAAAAACAAAGTTTTACAGCGTCAAAACTGCATTATCCTGGAAACATATTCTTAACTCTTGGGGCTTAGTTATGCACATAGAAGTAGAAACCAAGAGAGTAAGCACTCAAATCGCCAAGTTACGACTGAAGTATGGTGAAAGTATGGTAAGATAAATGAAAGCGTATTAGTCGTGATTCAGTATTCTTAGAGTTCAATTCATTTGGAAAGGCAACTATTTAACCTTTGGTTTTCGAAATCAAAATAGTTCAGTGTTCTGTTTTAGTGTGTTTTAATGATAGTGCAAACAGAAATAAAGGTGTGACATTTCATAGGTGCAATAATGAAATATTTGTATATTTATATTCGAGGCCATGAAAAGTATGGACCGTACTCGCTTTGAAGTTCTATTTTTTTAAATATCTGATGCAATTACCTTTGAAATTATACTACGACAAGTATGTTGGGTGACTCGGGTGCCGGATCTGCGATCTCATGTCATCTGTTACATCTTACATTATTCGAGATCAACAAATTCATTAGGGAAGCAAATATTGAAGTATATTCAATGCTGTAGGCAATTAAAACAAAATTTCATGATTGTAGGATGTGAAAGTATCATCTAGTTTGCTTCTTTTTTGTAGCAGCAATTGTTGGGTTAGCAGGTACGAAAGAACTGCCAAAAACTTGTGAAAATACTAGATTCCAAAACATATATGGAGATAACTTTTGTTGTAATTGGGCAAAAAAACCTGCTCTTGTACAGGTAATATTTGTCTTTACGGCCATCTCATATTTCACATAACAGAATATTCGTGAATCACAAAAAAGAAAAATGTTCGATTTAGCCTATTAGTATCCACAGTTTTGAGAATCTTGGATAACGAAACACAATTTTAAATTCATCCAGCGATGTTTTCTGCTGATATTGGTGGAAACATCAAATATTTGAAGAGACACGGTAGCTGGAAGTCTATAAATGTTGTTGAAAGATATATAGACAATTTCACTTATGAAGAAAATTAAAATTGCCGAATTCATTAAAAAATTATCAGATGTTAACAATCAATGCAAAAAGGAAATTTTACTTTCTCGTTCTGACTTCAACAAATTCCTTCCTTGAATTTCTTCAATATGAACAATAGCTCAAATTTTCATGATGAGAAATAAAATATTTGTTTTTGGGAAAGAAAGTTTTTGGCTTTCTACTATTCCATCTTGATAAAAAAAATGTGGGAATCTTACAAAGAAACGAAATAAGTAATCATTTTGAAAATAAGTAACTATACATGNACATAATTTATTTTATAACAATTTTTGCAGGTTATGTTGTTTGTAAGTTGCATGAACATAAAACAGAAACAGTAATACGGAATACGCATGCGTCAGATTGATGGTTAGAAGATAATCCTCAAACCATTCTGATAGATTTCGAACAGGTTTGAATCTTGGATGGAACAGAAAACTGATAGTTTACTAATGGTTGGAAACTCACGTTGGAACGCAATCGCATTACTGCGCAGAATTCTGACTGTCAGAAACTGTTTCTGACGCTGGTTGGAACGAACCTATAGAGTTACAGAAAAATTCCACGATTCAAGGAAGAGCTCTACTTTTATGATTATTCTTCTTCTCACTTCTTCCCCTTTTAATTAGGTGATTTCAAAGACTGTCTCAATTCCTCCACATTGCAAGAATCTCCATACATCCCGATTTCCCTGGTTTGCAATGTACGTTTCTGTGTATGTGTATATGAAGTTTCTTTTGCACAAAACATCTGAAATGAATTCGAATATATAAAAATCTACATTCATTGAATTTGTACTCTTGTGACAATGGAAAATACTGACTTGTATATGTTACGAAGATAGTATCAATTAGCTATTTATGATCTGAGTGTAAAAAGTAAGGTTTTATTTTGTGAGTGAAAAAGTTTGCGAAACGAGCGTAGCGAGTTGGGAAATTTCACGAACAAACTTAGTTTTAACACACAATATCATTAAAAATCGAACTTGAATTTGGAAATTACAAAAAAATAAATCAAAATTCGAATTTTGCGTCAAAGTCGATTTATTAAAAGGAAAACTTTCAAATAGCTTATAACGCGAAGCAAAATATCGGGAATTTGGCCCTTTCACAGGAACGCAATAGGCTGGGTTTAAGGCTGTCACTCGGGCTAAGTATTGCGAAAAGTGCGGCCCATGAAGGTCTAAGCCTGTACCAAAAATCTAATATATGCTTTCAAAAATGACTAAAGTACAGGACACAAGTTTATCACACTGTATATAGTGCCTAATATTTCAAAACAAATAAAAAATCAGGTCAAATAAGAAGGTACATTTTGTTGGATTTATTTCAATTTCGATCGGTTTGTCATGAATATTGCTGTAGTATTATATATTTATGGATTTCTGTTACAGGAAACGCTCATTTTGCCAAAGGGCCGCACGTTCTTCAATTTAACGAAAACAATGTTCACGATCTTGAGAAAAATGTTTGGTTCAAAGATAGAGAAGCCATACTGAAAGGGGATTTTGACTTCAAGAAAAACGCCACATTCAGAGACGATATAATTGTGAAGGTGAGTAAAATGAAACTTGCCACTATTATGTATAACGATTGTGGTTTTCTTCGATGGTAATAGAAAGCAATTTTTTTATTATTCATTTCATTTTGATTGGTTGTTCCCAATTCCAGTCAGAGCACATGAATCTCGTAAAGGAAAAGAGATGAAGAGTCGAGTTGAATTGTGACAAAGTTATCTATTCACGGGTACTATTGATCAATACAATTAATCGATTCTAACACTTTTAGATTCGAAGATATACCGGAAAAAACAAAAACTTACGAATTATAATTTTGGGTCCTTAGGCCAGCTTCAACTTCGAAAATTAAAATACGGAGCTGTATTTTTATAGACTTTTTTTATTGAAACGGTACATATGATACTTCGATAAATTGAATGGGCTTCAATATTCCTGAGAGTATTCAAATAATTTGATATTACACACTACTAATATTGCCAGTGAGACTACATCACATTATACAACCTTCAGAATTATAACAACCTGGAAAATGATAATTTCTTCCAATTAAAACTCATATAAAGTTCTTAAAGGAAGTTATATATATCCAAAACCAATAATATATCCAACATGAAAGAAACATCAACTTATAGGTCGAATCCAACATCAGATCATATTTTGTTTCCCCTTACTGATTCAATCAGTGCTAGGAATCGCACGTTGGAATGTAAGACGCCGTTAATCCTCAGGTCACATAAATTTCGACTTTTGGGAGTTGTCGTTGGTGGAGAATAGCACCAAACAATATTTAAGCACATTTTTTTGACAGTCATGCTGGTTGATCAAAGTAAAAATATCTGTGGAAAAAGAAGACTGGGATAGAAAAAACTTTCAGGTATTTCGTGTCTGTTCATTAGAATAATAGAATGTATACTACTCTGTTGAAAAAATAAGGTGAATTTTCATTTTCTCAAAAAATATTCATTTATTCATCAATTTCTATTTCGCCGCCTTCAAAGATGATATACGTGTGCCAGCGATTTTTCCAATCTTCGAAGCAGTTCTGGTACGTCCTTGAGCTCTCTCAACGATTTAGTTTTTATCGTCTCAATCGTCGCAAAATGCAGTCCTTTCATAGGTCTCGTCAATCTTGGGAGCAGAAAAAAGTTTCTGCGGGACAATTTTCGTGAATACGGTGGTTGAGGTCTAACTTCAAGATAATACTCCTTATTGATCGTATAGTCTATCTATTCCCAATTGGAACGGCAATAAAATTACGCCACGGTAATCGAAGAAAACAGTGAGCATAACCTTGATATTTGATCGAACTGTGCGTGCTTTTTTTGCATTTGGCTCTCATGGGCTCTTCCATTGGGATGATTGGACTTTGGTTTCAATGTCATAACCATATACTCATGATAAGTAAGTCACCAGTTATGACCCTTTTGAGGAAATCTCGATAGCCGTTAACGTTATTCAACAATTTCTGAGCGATGTTTGTGTGCCGATGATTTTGGTCAAAATTCAGCAGACAGCGATCAACAAGCGACCCATATTTGGAATAACACAATCGAGAAACATGGAGAATCATGAGCTGTTGCGCTTGATGTTTCTAAGGCCTCTTGACATGAAGGTTTCCTGGCCAAACTTCGGTGCTATGGCTTGTCGGATCATTTTTGTGTATGGCTCTTCAGCATCCTGAAAGAACGTTCCCTGCAAGGGCCGTCGATGGACATCTCTCGAATACTTTCACTATCAATGCCAGTGTTTCCCAGGAATCCATATTGTCTTCAACCCTCTTTTTACTGTATATCAACGACTAATTGGAAAAAACTAAGAATCCAATATATTGCTTTGCTGACGACAGCACACTTGCCTCGTCAGTCCATTTGGATTCCAGGACATCGGCTACGGAGGCACATCTTCACCGGTAGCAGGAGGTTGCATATCTTAATGAGGATCTGAAGGGATTTCGAATTGGGGTAGAAGTAACCAAGTTCAATTCAATGCTACAAAAACCCAAGCATCGGTTTTCTCCAAAAAGATAAATGTCTCCGAACCGGATATAATAATAGCAGATCAGAAAATTCCGCTTTCTGCTTCGATAAGTAATATAAAAAATTGAACAATCGGATGGTCATAATGTAATCGACACGCATTGTTCAACTTCGACAAGAAGATTTGAGGCGCATAAAAAGTTACCGAGAATCCAGCAGACACATAATCTACCTCGACGAAACTTGGTTTGACACCCATGATGTTGTCAAATATGGCTGGGTCGATGAAACCAAGTATTGTGCTGTGAACACACCTTATTCAAGGAGAAAACGTGTTATAATTTTCGTTTCGTACCTAACGCTTTGCTTCTGTCGGCCAAAAATATAAAAGAGTCATCTGCTGATTACCACGAAGATATGACTGCGGCTTTATTCGAAACCTGATTCAGTGAGCAGCTCTTCTAAATACCTCCAAACTCGATTATTGTTATGTATGTTATTGTATTGTTATGTCATTCTCGGTTATTGACTACAATACCTACCAAACAATAACACAAAAAAAGCAGATATTGTTGATTTCATGCGGAAACATGACAAGAAAGGTTGGAGATTTGTCTCTCTTCTATAGATACTTTCACAGGAAGTGTTCAAGTGACTGTGCACATTTGATTCCACCAAGAGCGGTACATATCAGAAATACGCAACAGACTGGTGTTGCTCATCGTTTTGAGGTTCAACTCAGTACACCTTGAACTCTACTGTTTGAGAACTGTTTCATCTGTAGAACTGCGTTTATGTGAAATAAATTTCCTGAGAACATATTTGTCCTAATGGATTTGATCTCCAGCGTTTCAAATCCAATGTGAAAAGCTATTTTCGCACAGACACCGCTCTGAGAGCGCTTTATGGATCTTCTTATAGTGATTGTGTTCTGTCTTCCAAAAAAAAAATTTGAAGGAACTTCGCTGCCATACGCTTCATGCCCAAAATTTTCGAAAAAATTGCATGACATCCTTAGCAACTTCTCTAATAGTGAACGGAGATTCTTCATAACAATTTACTTCATTTTCTCAACGTTTTTATCAGCCATTCAGGCCAAAAGAAGCTGGTGATCATCGACCTTTAGTGCTTGCTGTTGACGGTGATGGTCTGGCCAACGTCGTATCAAAGAAATATGGACCAATGACGCCGCCAGCCCAAAATCCACATTAAACAGTGACTTTTTTGAAATGCAGACTCGACGCAAAATTAGTCATGTGGTGGTCCGTGAAAGGCCGAGTTCTTGACACCGACACGAAACCTACTGCCACAAATTCTCTTGCACACTCTCACAGACAGCGGCGATGTTCGGCAGATCTTGCATTTCGTCGACATACAGGTGTTGTTGAATGCTATATCCGTCCATGGTGATATGGCAGAACAGACTGAATGAATAACAATCAATTTAACACATCCAGCTTTGACAAGATGGCTGTTATCAGTTGTCAAAGTTCGAAAGTCCCTGTTGGAAAACCTTTTATGTACGTCAATCGAATAATTGCTATAAAACCAGCGTTCATCTGAGAACTCATGGAGAGTTCTCGCAACAAAGTTAAAAAATATTTTCGAAATTTCTGCGAGCAAAGGAAATACAGCAAAAACTAAATTAGATATTTTTCGTTTTTTCCCGTATCTTCTCTGAACGAAAAGAGACCAATATAAAAAATTATTTTTGAGTCTAGGGTAATAAAGGATCGTAATCATTACACCGGAATCGTAACCATCTCACTGAATTTGAGTTTCTATAGTATGAAAGTGAAAAAACAGCGATATTGAATACTTTATGTAGTTTTCAATGAAGAATTTCTCGTTCTTGTGGTGAAACATCAAAATGAAAGTTATTATTACGAATACTCTGACCCGTTACTTGATGAAAATCAATAACTCTATACATGATAATATTTAAAGAATTTTCACTATGAAATTCATTTAAGACGGGTTTGGCTATACGATATCTTCATCAGTTACTGGTCATCGATTTAATAATTTATCTTTGTTTCCAGGGACTCATCAATAATGTCGATATCAACCATCTATCACAAAATTATCTGAGTAAAACTAAAAGACAGAATATAACAGCACCAATTACCTTCAAAGATGGGGTTGTGTTCGAGAAAGTTTCAGTTCCTGAATTACTCGTAGAAGGAGGTGTAAACGATATCAATTTAGCAACTTTTCTGAATGAAATTCTCCTTCACCGGCCACAACTTTTTGAAGATCAACTTTATTTTGAAGAAATTCAAACAGACAGTGAGTAGATAGATAATGAAAACAAAAATATTTGATTTGATTTGGTGATTCTGTGATACCTCAATCGTAGAAGTGGGTCCTGTGTTTTATATGGTAATTAATGTTTTTTCAGTAAATTTGAATTTCAATATTTCCTAAACATTCCACACACCAGAACGTGCGTTTCGACGTGCGTTTCGCTAATAGATAATCAAAAGATAACTGAAAGAAAATCCTACGTCAAAGTTTGAACTTTTAATACAAAACTAAATGAACCATTACCTTTGATTAGTGTCATTAACCAGAATGTGTTATTGGGTTAGTTTATTATATTACAAATTATGTTAATGACTTTGACTGATGACTATGACTAACAACTATGACTAAGGAATATGACTAACGACTATGAATAATGACTATGACTAATAACTATGACTAATGACTATGATTAATGATTTTCGACTAATGACTATAATTAATTACTATGTTGATAACTGAATCATATCTTGTATTTTCCTGATCTCTACTTGTAATTATTATGCAAGGGAAAAACAACGGATTGTTAGAAATGGAAGCATGTGGCTGTTGATGTCTCTTATTCTATAGCCTGACGTCACGTAATGTAACAAATCAGTGGCCGTTCAAGTATATCGAGTTACACTAGGCTTCTTTGGTCAAAGAAATTGAATACGTGGAATGTGTTCTATGAAACGTGTTATCATTGTCCGTTCAATTTTTCCAACGTTTAAAAATGGAAAATGTGAAAAATATATCAATGAGAAAAGGTAAAAGTCCTATTCCTAACATCCCGAAGTTTACTCTCTTAGACAATAATTATAAGTACAACTTGTCAAATCTAGGAAGAGACTTGAGAATTCTCTCTCTTTCATTCTCATCGTCTTCTAACAAACGCATGTCTAGTGGGCGGGACCATAACGGAATTCAGAAAGCTCTCCCTACATTTGACAAGCTGTAGATATTTTGGGAATATGGATATAATTTGTCATAAGTCATATTCATTTCGAAGGAAAAATCCTTTAAGCATTTTTTTTGTTCTAATTTGCTCGATTTTTTTCTGAATACATCCTTAACCAACATTGTACATCTTTGATATAATTTCAATCATCTTGTGATTTACCAAATAACAATTGAAAGGTTTGAACAAAAATATTTTTTTTGGAAAGGAAATAGAAGTGAAGCGCTTTACATTGGTGTAGAAACGTTGAACTTCTAGTTCAACATGATGAGATGACAGCGTTAAGTCATTGTATTCTGTAGAAAGAAAAATGCACTATTTATCAGCGTTTTTTGGCATTCTATAATTCTGCCTAGCCATTCTGCCTAGCAAAAAAGACACCTGAATTGTACAGATACTTAGATATCTCACCTAGCAGTTTTCCGTCTTTGATTTGTTTCATTTCAAAACTTTTTCGACAGATGTCAAATGAGTTTTGAAATATGTGACTCTTAAAACATTCTTATTAGTACAACGTATTTTCTGATATTAGACTGTTGCAATTTTTCCACCTTCCATATCTTTCTGGTAAATTGAAAGATGGTGAAAAATGCTTCAAGATGATATATCATGTCCCTATACCTAAATCGTCAAGTTTTCTCAATAAAGTCGCTTCTTCTAGAAACATTATTTTTTTTTAGAATTTGGATTTAGGTAGCAGTGGACCCTCAATATCCTCTAGAACTGCCCACAAGAGTTTGTCAAAAAGCTTTTCATGACGAATTTTAATCATTGCAAAATAAAAATAGAAAGTATTATTTATGCCTATATTTAACGAATTTCGTCAACGTATAACTTTGACATCACGAATTCCCACTAGAACATTGGCCACAATTCTGATGTTTGATTATAAATTTTCAGAAGTAAGTGGAATGTGTGCAAAAAGTAAAAAAATTAAATTATGTGAATAAACGGACCTATTTTGAAATGTCAATAATTTGCCAACAGATTACACGTCAAACACTAAGAATTGGATGACCTGTGATGCTTATAACAAGTGACTCAAAAATTTTGACGAAGAGATGAATAAAAAAAAAAGAAAATTCGTATGTCCGTTGATCATTGTACTGCACATGAACATATTCCTTATCTAAGAAACATTCATCTAAAGTACTTGCCTGCAAATACTACTTCAAAACTTCAACCACTAGACCAATGCATTATTTAAATCTTGGAATTTGTCAGACAGTTTCTTACTGATATTGAACAACAAACGCCAACTACAATAGACGTATTACAATCCATGCACATGATTGTTGAAGCTTGGAATCAAGTCAGGGAAAAAACTATCATAAACTGCTCCAAGAAGAGGGTAAAAGTTTCATGTGATGATGAATAGGATGACATTCCACTTGAGACAAAGAGTTCAAGAACAATCTAATCTTCAAGAGACTGAGTTCGAAGAGTTTGTTAGCTTTGATGATAATTTAGCCGTTTGTGTAGAATTCACTGATGCTGAAATCACCACATCAATATTGCCAGTTTCTAACGAACAATCGGAAGAAGGCGAAGAAGGAAGTGAATTCAACCAACGTGATTATACATACATGATTTTCGTTATTTAAATCATTCAATGAAGTGTATTAGTTACCATTATTATGGGTTTTTATCAAGTATCGGCCAGTCTATTCAATTACCATAAAAATAATAATCAACAAGACAAACCACAACCACATTGTTGATTTTTTATATATATGCAAATGTTATTTTGATTACATATTAGGTAACAAAAAACTTTGGTTTCGTTATATCATGGTTGCACTGTATTTTTAGTTTATACTTTGAAACTCACTGTGTGTAAATAACCCCTTTTTTAATCCAATATTTTTTTATTTCTTCACTCTGTAGGTGTGACAGGAACCTATTTAGTGAATAAATTGAATCTGGAATCCGACGTGATGAGATATGACAAGCCAAATACGATTACCGGTCCAAAAAGGTTTAAAAATCTCGATATTGGCATTTTACGCTCGGAGAGAAATATCACAGTGCAGGATGTAGACGTCAATTATTGGCTGACGAATGCCATCCTGAAAACCGCAGGAACTTTCAGCATTTCAGGAAAGAAATCTTTCAGGAACATTACAGCAGCAGACGGGCTAAGGTAAGTTATTATCAGTTTCATAGAAGCGGTCGTGTGGGCTGGTTATAATTTTAAAAAGTTTTGTTGTAACTTAGGTACGTATTTGTGTGTTTAAAGATTATGAATCTGCAGTCGAAATTTGTTGAAAAGATTTTTTTTCGGGGAAAAAACCTACTCAATCTTTTCCAAAGCTACTAATCAAATAGACATCAAGTTGTGAGACGATGTACTTCGCAATCAGGAAGTGAAGTATGGGACCTAGGAAGTGCCTCAAGGCACTGTCCCATACTCTTTAATATATATGTCAGCAGATTATTCTCCCTCGAAAACAGTGGTGATATCATACAATTCGCCGATGGCATGACTAAAGTATATCAGGTAGAATTGGAATACCCTCGAGAAAAAAGCCGAAAAGTGCTTTGAATTGATAAAAAACATGTCTGGATCCATCTGAAAATCTTTTCAGTGAAATCAATGTTTTCGACTTGGGACAGTTGTATTACCTTAAAGTCAGCATAAAATATTATTCAATAAAAGATCAGGCACAAGTATCAACTCATTGTTATGGTACCCATTATGTCAAAATCTTTTGAAAAAAGATCTTTATCTTATATTGCACCAAAACTATGCGACTCTCTTCCGTATAAAATAACCAGAATCAACAGTTTTTTTTCTATTAAATAACCGTATTAGATTTTCTTCGCAAAACACCTTGAAGTTTGATTAGAGACATTATGGAAGGAGAAAAATCAATAATTTTTTGAAATGTAATCTGGTTTGTACGAGTTATCATACTAATTATGTATTATACAGCGTGACTCACGGTCGATGGTAGGTTAGACTTTTCTGGAAAACGCAAAGCATGATTTTTCTGAAAATTTCACCTTTCACATTTCATTACCTGTTCCATCGATCTAAAATATTTTCAGCACTGCGGCGTTGCCACTTCTATCAAAAAGTCCTAGCAACCTAATTTTTTTAAATGGAACACCCCGAATAATAATACATTTTTGGAATCGCTCTGGTATTTTAATACTTTTTTGTTGATAATGTCCTATACCTATCTCTATCTGTTTTCGAGATAAAAAATAAATTGTGCTAAATATGGTCCAAAATATAGCCTTAATTGAAATTAAGTACATCAGTACACTTGATTGTCAAAGGTAATAAAGAAGGAATAGCCACACCAATATAATGCGTAATCGTAACTCAGTATATATTCAGGAAAATCTGAAGTCGCAGATCTTGGCGGATTCACTTCGTCCAACAAAGAGAAGTAATCGACTCATTTTAGAGGGTAATAATTTCCAAACGTTGGCCGAGATCCATTAGATTGCTTTCTATTCTGCGGAAGAAAGGATTTATACAGGGATCTCCTTCGACAAACGACTGTGAAGGCTAAATCGATTGGCATAGAACGATCCTTCCCTTTTGTCCTTTTCACAGATTAGTAGTAGCTCAAAAAATTGTGATTTTTTCGACTCTCTTACCACTTTGGGTTGATGCGAATAGGATCATTCTGTATTTTTTTGCTTAATGTTGATCTTGTTGAATAAATTTCATGTTCAGGTAGTTATA